TGTCAATAGCCCGAAATATCTATCCAGCGTTATTGCCTGTCAATGCCGGAAACTACTTTGCTGCTGAACTCATATTCTGCAATCCAACAAAATCCATGCCAATTCAACATGCCAAGGATGCTGTGCCATTACACGCCACTTTCAATTGTGTTATGAATTTACGTGCACTTACGGATGCAAATATATAGGGCGAACGCAAATGCTATTGGCAGCCAGAGCTAGGAAGCACATGCCTAGATGTCTATTAAAACAGGAAAAACGAACTCCTGGCTCATCCACTACCGAATACCCACATGATATGGATCATTCTATGGAGCCCACAACTTCCTTTCGATTGCTTATTCGGACACGAACTACTCGTACCTTACGCTACCCAGAGGCAGCCTATATACGGCGGTCAGAACTCGACCTACGTACACAGTTGGAGAATGTGGTTAAAAGTACTTTGCTCTGGTAATAACCGGCTCCCTGATTTACAAAGTTCCTTGTCCAACTTTGCGTTTTAACGTTTTTCCTCACTTTTACTTCCCACAGTGTTTCAACATGCTCATGTAACTGATTAGCCTTCATGAACAGGTTCTATGACCTTACTGACCTTTGTTTGTACGAATTCAATTTTTGTAATTTCTTATACTTTACTCACGTTATGTAGCGAGAGAAAGCATCTGATGAGCCTTCTCGAAAATTAGGGATCCATTTACTTCTGCTGCTGATGCACTCTATCAATTTGCACCAGGGAAAAGATGCTTTAAGTTGAATAATCTTAAAAACCTATTCGTTTATTGATTTTTGTATATTAATAAATTCAAATATATTTTATCGAGCACATGTTCAAAAACTAATCTTTTTCTTGTTTATTTAATACCCTGCTAAGGCTTTCTCTCAGTTTTAGAACAGTTTTTAATTATGAGATACTTGACATCGTACAATGTTAATTCAAGTCGCATTGCACCTTTTCGTTTGTTACTTCCTTTCGTAAAATTTATAGTATAGTTCACATCGCATACCAAATTTTACAAAGACTGTATGATGCCCTTTTAATACCGTAGAGAAATATGTATGTCTCACCATACAGGTTACAGACTGAAAACCCTAACATAAAATGCAACGGGAGATGGGGCCCAGAATTATTCAAAATCGGAAAACTTTCTAAAAGCAGTATGCAATTTTAAGATGAAATCGTCTATAGAATAAAAAAGGGCATGTGTGCTCAAGTTTATTTATGAATTTATGAAGACATGGAAAATAGCTAGAAAATACGCACTAGTTAAGTAATCATTTGTAGGCGTCTGAAAAGACATGAATCTGGAAGCCACAATCCTGACATTTCTAAACTAGCTTCGTGTGATGCAATAATATCATTGATCTCATATTTCTACTCATATAATATTTCCTAATATAAAAAGCACTTCCGAATTTTGATTAAAATTTAATGAAATTGGTCACTATCTGTACGAACGTGCGGCTAGCGATTAACAGATACATCCTACTGATAATTTATGAGTAGTTTTTTTTT